AAGACGGGAACGTATTTTGATACCAGAACGTCGGATGTATTTCGGAAAGTGAACAAGTGACCATTTCGACAGAAGCTGAGTGTGAAAACAGTCCTTCCACGGATTTCGAATTATCTATTCCCCCTGAGTGTCGACACGTCATCGGCTGAGTACTCTGGTGTCAATAGTGCAGTAAAACATCAACGTGACTATTTTTTTTAAAGTTTGGGTGCTCTTTGTGTCTACAGTGCCGTAAAACATCCATTCAGTCAACCAGAAAAAAGTTTGGATACACTTGTGTCTACAGTGCCGTAAAACGTCTACTCAATCTATCAGGAAAAAAGGCGTTGGTACTCTCGTGTCCATTGTGCTGTAAAACATCTACGCAATCAATCAACACAAGAAGGTTGGGTACCCCGTCCTGTGTGATCTGCTGACCGCATGCTGGTCAGCTCACGATGTCTTATGGCTCCCATCGCTACGGAGTAGGAAGTGGGAGCTCGAGCACTAGCGGCACCGGGGGCTCGTCCTACGGCGGGGGGTACAGCTCCTCCACGGGAGCCTTAGGGGGATCCTCCTCTTCTTCGTCCTACGGCGGAGGCGGCTACGGTAGTGGTGGTGGTTCCGGTTACAGCAGCGGTGCTGGTTACAGCGGTAGCGGTGGTGGTGCTGGCTACGGCGGGAGTTCTTCCTACGGTTCTTCATCCGGGACGATGTCGGGCGCGGGCTACTCGAGCGGCGGCCTGTACCCCAGCTCCTACAGCAGCGGCGCTTACGGCGGCGGTTACGGGAGCTCGTCTCTGCACGCGCACTCGCCCAGCCCTTACAGCTCGTCCTCCTCCGCGAGTTACGGTGGCTCCTCCCCTTACTCGTCCGGGGCGGGGCTTGGCGGTGGAGGCTCCTCCTCCTACGGCTCGAGCTCCGCTCTGGGCGGTGGCTACGGCTCGGGGCTGAGCTCCTCCTCCACCTCCCCGTACATACCCGGCTCGAAGATGGGCTCCTCGTCCTCCTCCTCGGGCGTCCCGCCTTTGAGCTCGGGGGGCAGCACCATGCCGTACATCCCAGGTTCGAGTCGGCACGGGTCTGCCTCCAGCTACAGCTCCTCGCTAGGCCCGCCCCCGAGCCCTCTGTACGGCGGCTCCCCCACCTCCAGCCTCCCGCCTTCCTCGCCCTCCATCAAAGGACCGTCGTCGGGCAGCACGGCCTTTGGCTACTCTTCCTCCTCCACGACCGCTCCGTCCAGCGGACTGGCGTCCTCCACCCCCTCCACCTCGGGCCTGAGCGATTCGAGGTTTGGATCCACGTCCACCCTGCCCGGCTCCGGCTTCGCCTCCAGCTCGGGTCTGGGCTCGGGTTACAGTTCAAGGTCGGGCTCGACGAGTTCACTTCCGGGCTCGTCACACGCTGCGGGCCTCAGCTCCTCTCTCGGGGTCAGTACTTGTTGACGGCCGACAGCTTCTTGCGAGAACACTGTACTAGAACCGGTGCTTTCATTTATATCTGTCTGTCTCTTCTCTCTCTCTCTCTCTCTCTCTCTCTCTCTCTCTCTCTCTCTCTCTCTCT